AAGAGTGATCTGTATCATATGCTGGGAGTTCTACACTCACTGCACCGGATTTCATAACAAGTGGTGATTGTGATAAATACTGACTGAGCATTCAAATGACAAATTACGTAAAAATAATGAGGGACGATAATTATTTATTCCTCAGCTTCATCTGCTGAGATAAAATTTAGAACTTTATTGACAGTGTATTGTCAAGGTAATTTAAAAAGAATATTTGCTTTTAACAAAATGTCACTTCTGTTCTCACTGAAATTGACACTAAATAGCTAGCAACTGTGGCCTTGAAATAATATTCCTCTTCTAATTTATGTCCCTTGAATAATTCTAAGGACTGCAGATTTCCTTTGGCTGGGTGGATGCATTGTGTAATATTTTATAATTTTGCATCACAATTGGAAGGGTTGGACTAGTGGATTTGCTAAGCTCTTTGCTCTCATTTTATAGCATGTAAGTGAGTCTGTCAAACAATATAACATAGGCATGTTTGTCTTTGATGATGATATTAAGCAAATAGAATTTAAAAAAATTTATAGCATAATCCTGTATAATAAAAGTCTAATATGCAAATTGTCCCCTCGAACAGGAGTTTGACTGTGGGGGTTCTTGTTCCAGCATCAAGAAGGGTTCAGCAATCTGGAGAATCTGTACATAGCTTAAATAGGAGTCCAGAGACGAAATATAATTTTGAAAGGCATTGGGGGTCAGAGGAGCCTTAGTTTAAAGGAAACTAAGATCTCCTCATCCCAGGACCCCATGCTTTTTATTAACACAATTTGTCCTGAGGCAAGACAGAGATATACACTTCAAAGGGTCAGGGTTTCCTATACAGAGTCCATTGTCAGAATGGGGAAATTAGCCTACGGCTGTTCAGGTGTTTCGCCAGTAGGAGGCAATGTAGATTATGGCCGCAAACAATCATCTATTTTCAGGTTTGGGGAAATGCCATCAGCCATTCCCAGATTCAGCCCTGCTGTCATGCTGGAATTGGCTTCCAGCATTCAACTGCACGTTCAACCACTCGCTATGATGTGCGCTGACCACCACTTAGCACAGTGCCTGGATACAGGAAGTGCTTTCATTTTGATATGATGTGCGCTGACCACTAGGGAGCGATGTGGACCATGGTGGGCGTCAGCAATGCTGTGCTAGCAGTGGGCAACAGTAGGGGCGCTGCCACTCCTGATGGACCCCAATGAGAGCGGGACCACAGCGGGATGGTGGAGCAGGTGGTGCTGTGCTAGCAGTGGGCAACAGTAGAGGTGCTGCCAGTCCTGATGGACCCCAATGAGAGCGGGACCGCAGCGGGATGGTGGAGCAGGTGAGCGGGTGGCACCAGGCCAAGGTGGGTGCAAGCGGAGGCCCAACCGCCCCACCGATTGCCCTGCAGATGGCGACCAGTGGTGGTGGCGGGGTGCGGGCCCACCATCTGGCTCCCAGGCAGAGGGAGCTGGGCAAGGGGCCCGGCTCCGACCAATTGCTCCCAGTAACCAGTGGTTGGCAGGTCCTGATCGCCCAAACGGTGCTGGGATGGGGAACTGGGGCTGGGTGGCAGCAACCAACCTCCCGTGATGCCTGGGTGGGTGGGACTGCGACCTCTCACCAACTACCTGGGGGCATGAATGATGGAGATGGAGGTGCGGTGAGAATGCGGGGTGTCTGCCCGGATAATCAAAGATACTATCCCCATCTCAAAGTCTAAAACTTTATTTATATCTGTGAAGTCACTGCCTTGTAGGATATAATGTATTTACAGTTTCTAAGGATCAGGGCATGGACATTTGGGGAGCCATTGTTCTGCTTGCCTCAGTATCTCTGATATGCTGCTAGAAATAAACTAGGGATTACTTAGATCATGGATCCCAATTACAGGATTATTATCTGAACTGAAGACATTTATTTCATAATCAACAGTGTATAGATTCTATTATAGCCACAAGAATCAATGATATTACTCAGAAAGAGGATATAAAATTAAAAGAAACCAGAGTAAAACTTTGAAGAACAGTAGTGATCATTAAGTCAGAGGCAAATTGGAAGAGTATGATATTTCAGAAGCAAAGAAAAATGTGGTAGTCAATGATCCCAAGTTATTCTGGGAAGTCAAGAAATAAGAAATATCCATGGGACTACTTGGTTACTTTGGTATGTGGATATTTTATAATGGCAAAAGGCTAAATTTACCTGTCATGAACAAGAGAGTAAGGAATTGGTGGGGAAGTGTGTCCAGTTGTGCTCTACGGGTGCCAGTAACTGAAATGAAATCTGGATATTGTGAGGGAGTAAAAGATAATTTATGCAAAGGAATCTAAGTGTATTCGTCTAATATTGCCATGTAACAAATCACCCCAACAGGTAGTGGCTTAAAACAGCATTCATTTATTATTACTGACTTATCTGAGGGCCAGCACACAGGTGGCTGATCTAGGCTGCACTTAGTTGTCTCAGTCTATTTGCAGCTCTGCTCCTTCCCTTTGGGGGCAGGCTATCCCAAGTATATTATCTTGGCGATGACAGAAGGGCCAAATGTTAAGCAGAATCCAGGAGGCCTCTTAAGTCTAAGGTTGAGAAGGGCTCCTGTTTGGTCAAAGTGATTCATATGGCCCAAACCAGAGTTGAGGCTGGGGAAATACAAGTTGAGGGAAAATACATGAGTTGAGTCTAAACGAAGGAAGAGATAAAGTAAAGAATCAGGCCAACAGTTTAAGCTACTATTCTTATCAACTTGCAAAATTTGGCCTCTTCCAAATTCTATAATGTATTATTCTAACAAGACATAAGTATGCAAGAGAAATTCTGTTTACTCCGTTTTCCCACCCCTACTCCTAGGAGTGAAAGACAAAGATGCTATTAGCAATTAACAACTGTTACTGGGCCACAAATGTAGGTAAAATTAGTTTCCCTGAAGAAATAATAGGTTCTGTTTCTCAGGAAGAGTGGAGAAGATATTCTGGACTCTTAAAAATAGCTGATGTCCACTACAGTTGTTTTGGACACTTCAACATCCAGATGTTTATTTTTCTTATCAAAATGATCATATCTTGGGTATGATGTCAAGTACATCACTGATATGAAGACAATCAAACACAGTCTTAGATTATGAATGAATAATGAATTCAATTCTATAGGGCCAAGGGAACGGAAAAAATACAAACTGAAGAATCATTTTGCAAGATAAGAGTTTAGGCATTGCAATAAATGCACAGAGGCCACTTATTAAAATTTTGGGTGTAGCAAGGCCTCTTTCTGGTGCTTTGCAATTTAGAAACAATTGTAAACAAGTTGTGCCAACTTATTTTCTGCCTAGAGATGGAAGTGCCGAGTCATCTTGAGGATATGCTTTATGGGGAAGGGAGAGCAGAGAAGGAGAGGGATACCTTCCTTAGTTATGTGAATGTGAAGGTCGAAGTAATCCTTGCCTTAAGGATTTGGTATAAAAAGATCATTTCGGATTTTCTAAGATTTAGTAATTTTAGTATGCAGAATTCTGAAGACAGTAGTGGTGTTGAACTTGTCTGGTTTAAGAATAGTAATCTTCTATGTTCTGTGGGACAGAAAAGATGATGCTGCTTATTTAAGCCACTGATCTTTTTTTTTTTTTAATTGATTTCCGAGAGAAAGGGAGAAGGAGAGAGAGAAGGAGAGGGAGGAGAGGGAGATCATTTCGGATTCTAAGATTTAGTAATTTTAGTATGCAGAATTCTGAAGACAGTAGTGGTGTTGAACTTGTCTGGTTTAAGAATAGTAATCTTCTATGTTCTGTGGGACAGAAAAGATGATGCTGCTTATTTAAGCCACTGTG